GTGTCTTGAGTTCGGTTTGGGGAGTGTTCCGAGCTGCCATGGGCCAGCTCGGGTCACAGCTTTGTGAGGCTTGGGGCCCAGTAGTCTCCTTGTAGGGAGCTCAGGTTCTCAATAGGGAACTCGCTCTTAATAGGGAGCTCGGACTCCCAGTAGGGAGCTCGCTCTTAATAGGGAGCTCGGACTTTGTGGGGAGCTCGGGCTCCTAGTAGGGCTCAGTAGTGAGTTTGGACTTGCTTTCGGTGCTTGCTTTGGGCACTCTACTGTCTCGAGCTGCTTGTTTTTGCCACGTGTCGGGTGATTGCGAGGTCAGGCCAAATTCCCCTTCATCATGTTTCATACTTGTAATCGATGAACCCGAATCAGATATCCTACAAGCAAAACTCTGCATACACTGGAATCCAACTGCATTTTGAATATATCTACCATATATGTATGTTAAATTCATGGAGAGCTATTCCGTGCAGTAGAACTCAAATGCCGGTGCTTTTACGATGTGTGCAAGGTTTTTGTTTGTAAGAGATCCCATCACATAATTGATAGGGATGTACTTTTGAGATGGCAATCATGTTTGAGATGTGTGGCTATAGATCAAGTTGGAAGCTGGGTTAGTAGTGAGTAGTGCTGGTGGCGGATTCAAGCGTAAAAAGAAGACAGAGTAAGGATTAAGGGAACACCTGAAAAAGTATACGCAAGGCAAGAAACAACAGCTGATGAGATCTTGAGGAGATGCAGCAACGCTATGTTGAAGCTCATGTTGACAATAACAAAAAGTATTGGTAGCAATGGTGCCCCATCACATCCTGTAATCAAGCCAAAAATCCCAAGCAATCAAATTAGTCGAATGACGTGGCAGATGATGGAATCACATGAATAAGAATGAACAGTAATTGCATGATCAGAGCATTTTACGTTTCAAATGCTGTCTAAATGCGAAGCACCTATATAGTGGTTCCCACCTAATTTTGTCCCATACAAATGTTCATCCATTTCACACTATTATTAATAGTAGAATAATTCATTAGTCATTCTTAGTACAACATGTTTATATTAATATCGACTTGGAAAAACTAGTAAATGGCATCAACTTGGAGGTGGGCACTACGTGAATAGAGAGATTCAGTGATTCATTCTATAGATGGTAATCAACATTTATGAGTTATTCTTTTATATCCTTGTTAGTGGGATGCTATTAGTATATTTCTTAATGAGCCTTTGGCTATATTTCTTCATATTTTAATTGCTGCCGCCCCACTGAGGGAGGGTATTCATGCAATTTTCATCGGATTTGATCTTTAATACGGAAGATAGTGGGGGCTCTCATGAACCCCACAATTGGAGTGTTGTTTCTCTCCACTCCTTTTTTCTTCTCTTTTCCCTCCTTCCTTGCTACAGTTTTCTATCTTCCATTTGTTTTTCTTGCACTGATTCAAGTAGCTTTTTATTGCTGAAATCAATCCACCTATGGTAATGAAAATTGATTCAAGAGACTAGAAGTAATATTACGTTCTCAACTTTTGTACTAATTATGTTTTTCATCTCGAGTTCTTTCCAGTATATAGCTTATGAATTAACTAATTGACCTCTCAAGTCTCAACTGAGCAACTGCTGATTTAACAGTAATAATTAAATTAGCTAGCCTATACGTATTTCATGCTTCTATCCAATGTTAAGATATATAGGAGTAAACTTTAATTACTAAAATAGAAATGGACAAGGTGTATCTATAAATTAGCTACAACATACCACTTGACAAGGAACCAATATTTAGAAAGCAGGCTGCCCCATCCTTAAGATAGCTTGGCAGTTGCGGGAATGGAACACCCCAAAACTTTGAAAGAAAAGGTAGCAGAAGACAGATAAACAGTGCCTGAATAGAAAAGAATACGAGAACATTAAGCTTCATCTGGAATATTCTTGTAAAGCCAGTTAATGAAGTTAGCTCAAAATTTTGAAACACCTTAAGAATTTTGAATACAAATCATTGCAGAGTTCTTACTTGGAAGGCAGATCCATAGGAATTTACAACAAAAACATCAATAGAACCTCCCTGAAATTAACACAAATTGGACAAGCTTATATACAAATCATACTAGCTTGAGTATCAATGGATGGAAAACATGGTCAGTGACTACTGGTATAAATTACCTTCAAGTGCTGTGCAGCATCCAAGAAAATTATTTCCTATCAAAAGAAATTGAAAACCATTAGTAAAACTTAGGTTGCACAATTCTGTACATTGGAGACTATCAAATCCATTCGGGAGGTTGACAACCTTCAATATAGTATCGGCAGCTTGAAACAAATATGAAATAATCATCAGAAGAGTCCAAAAGATACCAGTATCCTTCAGTGAAAGGCCACCACCAGATCCACTGCACAGGACAAATGTTCCAAACAACAATGTCATATAATCGTATCCAGCATACAGGACCATTGATGAACTATCAAATTAAATCTTCTGATTGCTTTGCCCAATTGTGTTGCATGGAAGGTGGACATCAAAGTACTGAAAAGAATGACTTGTTTAGTCTACAAGCCAGTCTCTTTCTAAGAAATGGCCATGACACTTTGATGCCTGTGTAACTTTTGTTCCATCATAGAGACACCATAGATTTCCATAAATTTTTGTTTAGCATTTCATATAATGCATAATATAATTAGTCTTGTAATAGCAAAGTCATATCAACAATCTGTGACGGGATCTGCTCCTCACAAATGGGCACCTCACAGACACATCCACCGTGCATTGAGAACATCTCCCATGAATAATAACTAATAAGTACGGGAGATGTTCCCAATGCATGATAGGATGTGCGTGTGAGGTGCCTGCGAGGCGCAAGGTGTGAGGAGCAGATCCGGTCTCCAACAATCTATACTGAACAATAACAAACTAGCTTTTAGGTTTTAGCCCAAGGTCCATGCACTTCCTAGTATGAATTAGACAAAATGAACTACCTCCAGTTTTACAAACTTCTTATGTTTACAAATCTCATACCCATTCGTAGTTATCATATAAAAATAGACATGATGGAAGGCTTATTTCTAACTCTATACATTGAAAGCAATTCAACACCTATGGTTAAACAGCTTAAATGATTCAAAGGCAGTTTAAACTTTTACATGCTTATTCTTTAAGGTTCTTCCATTCCTCTTCACTGTTCTACTCACATTTCTTGGCCTCCTAACCTCTATGACTTTCCTTCAAGCCATAATTTTTTCTTTGATGTTTTATCCTCCATAGATATTCCTCGTTCACTTCAGCAAGCCATTAAAAATTCTCATTGGAGAGAAGCCAGGGATGCCAAGATCAAGGTCCTTCATGAAAATGACACTTGGGACCTTGTGCCTGCTCCTACAGATGATTTTTACACCATCAAGCTGAAATTTGATAGATCTCTGTAGTGAGAATAGGCCGAATGGGCCTTAGTGTTCTTTATTTCTTTTAGTAGTGTTTAAAAGTTATGTTTCTTAGCTATGGGGCTTATGGGCCTTCTTTTATTTTCTTTAATTATTTCTTTAGTGCTGGCCGCCCTGTGGTGTTTCTGAGTTGTTATGGCTTAGATCTCTCCTTAATGAGATGAGTGTTTCATGTGACGAGCCACTGATGTTGTATTGTGATAACCAAGCTGCTATTAACATTGCTCACAACCCAATTCAGCATAATAGAACTAAGCACATTGAGGTAGGCAAACACTTTATACAGAAGAGGGTGGCTTCAGGAGAGGTGTGCCTACCTTTCATTGCATCAGAAGAGCAACTAGCAGATTTTCTAACTAAGGGAGTCCCAAAGGCAAAGCTTCAACATTATGTAAGCAAGCTGGGCATGATTGAAATTTATACTCAGCTTGAGGAGGAGTGTAGTGAGAATGGGCCGAATGGGCCCTAGTGTTCTTTATTTCTTTAAAGTAGTGTTTAAAAGTTATGTTTCTTAGTTATGGGCCTTATCGGCCTTCTTTTATTTTCTTTAATTATTTCTTCAGTGCTGGCCACCCCATTAAGGACATCCAAGTAATTGTACTCAGACTTTGAATTATTAATAAAAGTGATGAAAGGGGGCTAGAGAGAGAGGTTTGAATTCTTTTTTTCTCTCTCCCCTTCTTTTCTTCTTCCACAACCTATTGCTAAAACTTCTTTTCTTCTTTCTTGCATTATTTGAATTACTGTAGGTGTAATTGTCAACTATCTCCTAATTGAAATAGGCTCGATTAGTTGCCCAGGGATATAGTCAGGAGTATGGCATTGATTATGAAGAAACCTTTGCCCTAGATTCTAAGATCACCATAGTCTATGTTCTCTTAGCATTGTCTATTGTCTAATCTTAGACCATTTGTTAGTTAGATGTAAAGAATGCCTTTCTTCATGGTCAGATGAAGGAGACAATCTACATGAAGCCTCCTCCTGGATACTGCAATGATTCTTCTTTAGTATGTCCCCAAAAAAATCCCCATATGATTTGAAATAGGTTCCCCGAGCATAGTTTGAATGTTTTCAAGATATTGTAGTTGCTACCAGATATAGCTAGAGTTCCTTTGATCCATAGTTGTCAAGGTCATAGTTTTCAAGGTGCCAAGGCAAGGCTAGGCAACAAGGGGGCGCCTTGTTGCCTAGTTGCCTAGGCGATGGGTTTTTTCAAGTAAAAATATGTACCGTAGGGTAGTTCCCTAGGTTCCATAATCATATTTCCTTAATAATCATCCATAATTTTCATGAGAAAAGTATAAAATTCATGTTAAATTATAGAAAATCAACATATTCGAACATATTCATGAGAGAAAAGAAGAAAAAAAAAGAAATTTCAAAAAATATAAGGGTTGAACCCCCTATTTCTGTTATAGGAAAAGAAGAAAAGAATAGGTGGAAGAAGAAAATTGGTATATAGTATAGACACAAAATTCGTAAAGAAAAAGAAGTAAATGTGTTGGTTAGACAACATTTTAAGTTCTTCCTTACTTATTGGTTCACATTTTGAAACTCTTTCAGGGTTCAATACAGCATTTAGCAATGTTTGTGTTGATTAAACCCTAACAAATAAGAAAATAATAAAAAGAAATTAGTATATAAACACACAAAATGAACATTTTAGTTTAAATAAGTCTATTTTAAAATTATAACCTCAAAAAATGTGCCTGCCTAGGTGTTGCCTTGACAACTATGGTTAAGGTGTCGCCTAGGCAACTAGGAACCCTTGGTTGGGCGCCTCGCCCAAGTACCTTGACTTAAAGCAACTAGGCACTTGTCTAGGAAACTAAGCACCCACCTAGGCAACAAAAATGACAAGGCAGGTGCCTTATATAATATCATTTATATTGTTGTATCTTATTAATATGTATGTTATTACATTTTATTATATGCTACATTGCTATATATATATATATATATATACTTTGTTTTAATGTTATACCATTGAAATTTAAAAGATCAAATGGTGTGAGGAGAGAAAAAGAAAGAAGAAAGCAAAAAAGAAAGAGCAAAGAAATAAGTATAAAGAGGTTCTTTTTTTTTCTATTCTCTCACTAAGTAAATAAAACAAAAATTCCATCCTTGATTTTTATATTTTACTTTCCATCTTGAACATTTGTCATACAAAGTTATTAATTGTTTTAATGTTGTACTATTGAAATTTAAAAGATCAAAGGGTTTTGAGGAGAGAAAAAGAAAGAAAGAAATCAAAAAAGAAAAAGTAAAGAAGGAATAGAAGTATAAAGAGGTTCTTTTTTTCTATTCTCTCTCTAAGTAAATAAAATAGAAATTCCATCCTTGTTTTTTATATTTTACTTTCCATCTTGAAGATTTTTCATATAAAGTTAATAACCTTCTTTAGCTGCTAATTGATATGAAATTGCTCTATTAAATACTTATTATAGTAGTATCATTTTTGAAAATAATGAAATTAATATATGTAAAAGATTTTTATCTTTTAGATGTGATCACTTGCCACATTTTTGGAGGAAACTTAATGTTCTTAATAAAGAGAATTGCTATTTTTTTATGAATAAGAGAATAGCATTTCTCTTTTTTTTTTTGAAAATAGCAATTCTCAAAAAAAAAAAGAGAATTGCTATTTTTTCAATTAATATACATGTTGAATGGTATATAAAACTAGGGAACTAGCCAAAAGATAGTTCTTTATATTATAAAATTCTTATCACCTAGGCGACCGCCTAGGTGACAGGATGACTAGGCGCCCCAATGTCGCCCAAAATCACCTGAACACCTTGAAAACTATGCTTTGACCACTCTCTTTGTTAGGCAACAACCTTAGGGTATTACCATTCTTCTATTGCATGCTGATGACATGTTGTTGACCTGGGCCCTTTCACTGACTTCTTGGGTCTGGAAGTTTATCACAATGTATCGAGGGGTATTTTGTTTGTCAATAGAAATATGCCTTTGACGGCTTGACCTCATCAAACTTGCTGGCATTACTGATGAGAAACATGTTGATGTTCCAGAGGTCTATCAACATGTTTCTCATCAGTAATGCTAGCAAGTTTTATGAGGTCAAAGGCATATTTCTACTAACAAAAAATACCCCTGATCATTGCAATAAAGACCCAAGAAGTCAGTGAAAGGGCCCAGGTCCTTCATTGGGAAGGAATTATGGAGTAAGGACTTCAACTCACGAATATCTTCATCATCATACCAAGTTAGATGGGGTCTCCCATCTATCTCACCATGACTCGGCCTAATATTTCACATATAGTTTAGGTTGTTAGTTTGTTTGTTTTTGCTCCTTGCCAATCTCATATGATTGTTGTTCATTGCACCATTCATTATATTAGAGGGATGAGTTCTTAGGACAGTTCTTCTCCTCCTCTCCCATCAGTTGAGAGCATATGCTGATGTAGATTGGGCTAATTGTGCTGACACTTGCAAGTCCACTTCTGAGTGATGTGTCTTTATAGGTGATTCTCTCATATCCTGGATGTGTAAGAAACAGTAGACAGTCTCCAAGTCCTCCACTGAAACTAAGTATAGGGATTTCTTCTGTTTACAGTGAGATATTTTTGGTTACAATCTCTCTTTACAAATCTTGACATTCAGCTTCCTACTCTCTATACAAACAATACAAATGCTATGAAGATTGCTTCTAACCCTATCTTCCACAAGAGGACTAAGCACATTGAGGTGGACTATCACTTCATCCGAGATCTTTTCAATGTTGGATCCATATCACTTCCTCATGTGGCCTCCAGTTTATTGATATCTTCACCAAGGTGGCAAGGCCATGACTAGAGCTCGACACCTCTTTCTCATAAGCAAACTAATGCTTATCTCTACACATCAGTTCAAAGGGGAGTGTGGAGATTTTGTGACTTGATGTATTTTATTAGTATAGTCCTTGTTGTACATTATCTTGTTGGTATTCTTTATTTCCTTTTTCTCTTTCAGCCATGTATGGACATTCTTGTAATTGTGAATAGTCTTTAATATAAAAGAGGCTCTTTAGGGTGGGGGCTAACTATTTTTGACACCCCCTAAGTTTGTTCTTGTTCTCTACACTGTTCGGCCAAGAGACCCCATGACTTGGAGTAGTTTCTTTCCATTCTTCTTTAGGAACTCTTTACACCCCCATGACGGAGTAGTTTCTTTCCGTTCTTCTCTTCTCTCATCTTCTTTCTTCCTCCTCTCTATTGCTAAAGCTTCCTTCATCTTCAATCCTTTTTATAGCTAGGGTGTAAACAGGTCAGGTTCGGTAGGATTTGCCTAAACCTGAACCTGACCCGACCCAACTAAATGAAGATAGGCTACCAAACCCACCTGTCCCGCCTCATGTATAGTATACCAATATCCAATTGATGTTATATATACTAATATCTTCAAGGCTGCAATGTCAACAGCTCAGGTCGGGTTGGGGAGAATGTGGATTCTCCCCAACCCGACCTGACCTGAAACCCAATTAAGAACAGCCCAACCCTAACCCAATAGGGTCGGGTCAGTGCAGGTTTACCACCTAACCCGACCCACTGACATCCCTATTTATAGCATCATATTTAGACAATTTTTATTGCTGAAATCAATCAAGTGTCTGGATAGTTTAGTAAAGTTATAAAGGAATTTGGAATGAAGTAGTTTATGTTAACCATTTTGTTCTCAATTTGAAACTACCTTAAGAAGAACTCTACTGGTGATTTATGTTAATATATTGTTGTTGCAGGTAGTGAGGTTGAAAAGTATTAAAAAAAAGTTTAAACAATTTTATAGGAACACTTTCAAACCAAAGATCTTGAAAAGTTGAGATATTTCTTGGGCATTAAAATAGAAAACTCAAGGAATGGCATTGATTTTTTGTTAAGACATTCCTAATGGGACTCAAACTCTGAGTTAAAGTGTTGATCAAGGTGAATTATTTGATGATCCAGGAAAGTATAGGACATTGGTTAGTAAACTAAACTATTTGATGATTACTCACCCAGATATTTCATTTGCAATTGCTGTTGTAAGTCAGTTTATGTATAATCCTTGGGTTCCACAATGGGATGTATTGATTAGTAGTTGAAAGATATAAAGATGCTAATTGGTTGGTTCCATGTTTGACAAGAATTCTACTACTGAGTATTGCATATTTCTAGGAGTGCTCAAGCTGACTATAGGGCTATGGCTACATGTCAACTAGTTCGGCTGCAATACTTCCATCAAGAGATTGGGTATTCCTTGTCAGATACTATTTAGTTATATTCTGACTACCAAGGTGCTGCCCATATTGCATCAAATTCAGCTTTTCATCAAAGAACCAGAGCATAAGGTTGATTGCCGGTTTGTGTGAGAAAATGCATGGAGTCATGTCTACAGCTTCTGTGAAGTTTATTTACAAGGGTATGTTGGGTAAGGTGGACTAAGTTTGTAATAAGCTGGGGTCACACACTATCCAAGAAGAGACTGCCAAGCATCCTCATTAAAACCACTTCCATTTGAGAGTCTTTTTTCTCAAAAATTCTAGCATTTCTCTCCATCTAAACCAACTAAATAACAGCCAATAAAACTATACGCTAGAGTGCTTTACCCTGTTCTTAAGTTGTTGATATGACACCACCTCAAGCTTTTTCTGGACATACTGCAGGAAACACCATTATAAAGGGCAGCCCAGTGCATAAGGCTCCCGCCAATGCAGGGTCTGGGGAGGGACAGATGTATGTAGCCTTACCCCTGCACATACAGATAGGCTGTTTCCAAGATTTGAACCCTAGTCACCCAGGTCGCAATGGAGCAACCCAGCCTTACCCCCATTGCAAGAAACACCATTGCACTCCCAAAATCTCAAAGAAATGAACCAAGACAAGAGAGATCAACTTGCAATGAACAAACAAATGGCTACTAGATTCATCTACTTCTTAAGGTCCTGGGCATTCATACCTATGGCAAGCAGCTTATCTTTAGTTAAACTCTTTCCAGAGGCACCAATCTACACCATTCATGCAATTCTGAAATAGACTTTAGTATCCCATATTTAGCACCAAGGAGTTCTATTCTTTCCTTGAAGTTGGGATGTGTAGCCTTATAAAAGGATCATATCATCAAGTTTTCATACTGTCCCAGAACCATAACCTAGAGACACCATAATCAGCTCTTCGCAGGTTGCTTTCTAGCTTCAACTAAGTGCTGCCATATCATCCATTCTCCAGTCATTTAGACTTCTTAGGTCTAAAAATTTTCTCCATGAGGAACCAAGTTACCAACAACATAGCTGTTGAACATGATCTAGTCAAGGTGCATGAGATAGAGAGAAGAGAGAACTGATGAAAGAAAATCAAATGAGACAGACATGCTAGGATGTCAGTCAGTGGCTATACCTATGTATCCTAACATCAAACTTACAGCAGATGAAGAGGAGCTAGAGGACGATACAGGGCAGTATAGAAGGCTGGTTGAGAAGCTGAATTATTTGAGTATCACACGTCCCTACATATCATTTGCAGTTAGTGTAATAGTCAGCTTATGGACTCACCCAAGGTGCTTAATTTGGATGCCGTATATAGAATACTAAGGAACTTGAAAGGTTCCCAGGCCTTTGAGTGATTTATTAAGATCATGGTCACTTAACTATATCAGAATATACAGATGCAGACTAGTTGGCTCACCCACAGACCATGGATCTACCACAGGTTATTGTACATTTCTGGGTGGCAACTTCATCACATGGAAGAGCTACAGACCACTCTCCCAATAGCAGTCATTTCTTAGGCTTCTTTATTGTCAGATATGGAAAAGGAGGGAAAGAGATTCAAGTGGGTGGCACAAGCCATGGAAGTTAAGCTACAGTGGGTGAAAATAAGTGCCAACTCTTTTGCTGATGTTTCAGCAAAACAAGGGGTGGGTAAAAATCAACTTCTCTGGGCTTTGTTGTAAACTTGAGTACTTTCTAAGGGGAGAGATAGGAGAGTTTCTCTCTCCCTTCGTTCTTCTGTAACTTTTAATTATTAATCTAATGAAATGGTGCAGTTATTGATCAAAAAAAAAAAAAAAAAGAAAAAAAGAGGGAAAGAGCTCCTGCAGGGTGTTACTGTCACACCAAGGACAATAACAAAACCGAAATCTAATTCTGCTCCCAATGCCCATCCTGAACCTCACTCTTACAAGTTCAGGTATCTCCCAATGCTTCTCCATACTGCAAATCCAGTAGATGCTTCAGCATCAATACTTTGCAGCCATACTTCTTTTTGAGAAAAGAGAAAGTATGACACATATTGAGATCAAAAAACAAAGTGGGTAGGGAGACACATATTAGTTACAAAAAAAGATGCCTAGCCTCTAAGAAGGGTATTACTTTCCTCCAAAAAATTTCTGGTTCCTGTCCAAATCCCTACTACTACTTTCCTAGTAATGCTATAATATCTTTCCATAGATTACACAAACCTGAGTGATATTCTGTTTTAGGGGAGTATATCTTACTTAACTCTACCAAGTGAAATTTAAACTCATCCCTCCATTATCCTCATTGTGGTTTCTAAACATGATCTCTTGCCAAGGTAAAGCTGTCAATAGATCAGCTCATGATCCCAATCTGATCTGGTCAATGTATGCAGTTAATAAATCCAAAAGCAGTGTTTTTTGAATATTATATTTTAATAAAAGGGTATCTTCAATTGATTTTGTTAAGGATTTATAATTCCTTAATAAAATCCAATTAGTCAAAATTGAATTTGATATGAATATATGGTGGAACAAATTCCAATCTTTGTATATCACATCTAAATATAACCTGTTTAAATCCCTACTCCTAGGCTTCAAAATCAATAAAGAAAGAGTGTAAGGTGAAAGCTTGAACTAATCTGACTACCCATTACACTGCCAACTAACGAAACTAACAAAGATAAAAACAAAACAAAATTCAACAGTGACAAAGCAACAATGGTTTAATAAGCTTCACTGAACAATTACATTAAATTAATTACCTTGCAACAGTTATTATTACGCCAACAGCCACAAGAAAGCATCCAAGTATTTGGTTCATTCTATATTGCTTCTGAAGGAAAATGACTGACAAGAGAATCTGCCAAACAAGTGCAGACTGCAAAGTAAAATGTAAATAAATTTAGGCATTGCAAGGAATTGTAAAAACAGTACAGCAAGAGAGCAAAATTAATTTTCCAGGAAAAGGAAAAGGAAACACAAGAATAGAAAAATATTCCAATAAAGTGGCTATCTAGTTTCCAATACATTGTTTCCATAAAAGAGATCAAATGAAACTCCTCACCTGAGACAATATTGGAATTGATGCCCCAGAAAGAACAGCTGCCAAAGAAAAGGGAACATAAGGTTGTGCTTTTGTAATTGACACGTATACAGTACATGGAATAATGTTTGTGAGAAATGCAACTAAATGTGAAGATCAAACTGAAAACTCTCACAAAAAGGAAATGGTTGTTCTGAATTAGAGGTGCATAAATCCCAATTCCCAAATACATCTGGCACTAAGTTATGTAATGCATGCATAACTACCTCAGATAGCTAAACATAATAAATGGATAAACCCACACAAGTTTTTGCAAAAAAAGATTCCAGATATGGAACAGCCTGAAGCATGCAGCAGAAAATAACAATGCAATAGATAAATCATGAGGTTAAATTTTGGGTCTGAAGACACGTCTCATATATGGATCTGGTACCCCATAAAAATGCCACTTGTCCATGTCTTGAGTATCAGGATCCCCCATCAGATGGGTCCTACCTACAAGTTCAGCTGGCTCAAACATTAACATGCTCAGAAGACAACCATCTTACCTTTTGGGAAAAGTTTTCCTTAAAGTTAAAAAGCAACTCTACAGCTAATGCCCAAAACAAATGGTTAAGAATCATTTGACATGTTTGGCTTAGCCATTTTTTAGATAGGATGTGGGTCAAAATTCTTGAAACATGGAGCAGGTGGCAATCATGGGAGATCCACACCCATCTGCAGGTCCTGTGTCCCCAAAATCAAGACTGTCCCAAATCAGAAAAGAACGAAAATTGGAAATTTAGATCTCCTCATAAGTAGTGCTACATGGATTTAAATACAATGGTGACATGTTTAAGAAATATCTATTCAGAAAAAAAAAAAGAAAAAAAGAAAAGGACTTTGCATGCCAAATTATCTATTCAACAATCATATAGAAAGAAAATGGTATTACCAAAATATATGAGAAATATAACATAATTAACTTAAGAAGAACTAAAACACATACAACCTCCTTCCCTCCCCCCAACAAATATCAAACACTTATTGGATGGTTTTCAACATAAATGAGTTAAGGTAACATTCCATTCAACTAAGATGCAAAAATTCCATCATTAACACTACAAATTTGAAAGCATTCCAGCATAATAATGAAATGTGTCAAACCACTCAGCAACTAACAAAAAAGATATCCTTATAAAATACATTGGCCTAGAAGAAAGCCGCACATTCAACAATCAAATAGTCTCTAGCATCAGGAGGAAAAGAGGCTGATGGCATAAATGCAAAGGACAGAGATCAACAAAGACTAAAGTGTGATTTACCTGCAGCTGCCATTCCAGTAGCTGCAGCAAGAGCCTCTAAGAGACCAACAAAAAGAAAGGAAGTTTTCGGCAAGGAGAGCATCTCATCCGTAACAATGCCAGCATTATAGCGGAAACGCAAGATAGAAAAGTACACCAGCACATATCTGGAAGAAGAAAATATGTAAGCCAAACAGATATACTTCCTGAAGAGAAAACGTAGTAGGTTAATACTAAACAATTTTGACTTCCAATTCACCAATTAACAGAATAATATGAATGACATTACAGTAATATATGTATTGTATATAAAATTTATAGTATATGGTGTGTATTAAAATATGTGCAAGAATATAATAAAAAGGGCAGCCCAGTGAAATAACATAATATATATTAACAAGTAAATTAATTATTGATAGTGATTTAGTCCTATGGCATTGCAGAAATGGACTCAAACAGTTTAAGTGGCTAACCTGGACAATGCAAGTCAAAATCCTATGGGTAAAATGGTGAACTAAACATGGCTGATGTTCTAGCCAAACAAGGGGTAGATTCTTTTTTTTTTTGTTTCTGGTAAAAAAACTTGAAATTGCATTTTTTAATATATTTTTACAAATAAAAAATTTAATACATAATTAAAAAATATAAAACAATACATGTGTTACATATAGAACTAGGGGAACTAGGGTTGTAACCGGATCAGACTCAAATTGGATTTAGCAAAATCCACATCCAACCCAACTACTAAAAACCTGCATCCGAATCCGACCCGAAATTCAGTATTAGTTTTTTTCATTTATTATTAGTAGTATTATTATTGTTTAATTATTTTAATTATTACTAGTGTTTTTCAATTTTTTTAATCAATATTAATTTTTAGTTTTTTTATTTTTTTATAATATCAAAAAGGATTTTTTTTAATTTTTATCACATGTTAAATTAATTCATACTATTGATTTGCATTTTACTTAAAAACACCAAAAAATTTTACTCTTGATCAATGACGTAGGTCACCTCACATTGTGTATATGAGATGCATGGAATCAAAATACAAGGTGTGGCCTGAACGACACAACACTTTGTAAAACACCTATATATAGGTGTGGTGTGGTTTAGGCTACCAAGTTTTGACCACAGTAAAGAACACCTATTCTGCTATGGTGTGAACCACACCACACCTATGGTGTAATTGAAAACACACCACCTAATTTCTCAACCACACTATGGAACAACCCCTTAGTAAGTTGTTTTGGGATGGAACCAATTATTTAAAAGGTTAGTGTTTTAGGAGTGATCATAGATTCATTGACCAGGCCAGCCGGCCAGACCTACAACATGATCTATGCAAGCCCAGGACCGGGCCCAATCCACACACCAAGCCTAGAATGTAGGCCCAGACCCAGCCTAAGCCTGACCCATGTTAATATGTGCTCTTGCATCAGGCCCAGCCCGAGTGGGCTTGGAGCCCTAGACAACACCTAAACTTCAGCCTGAAAATTTGCGGGTCCGACCAGCCGGGCTAGGAATGATCACTCCTAGCCATTATGTGATTATGTCAATATGTCAATTGAACACGACATGAAACAAAAGGCCAAAAGCAATGCAATAGTGCAAAAGGGTCCCACCAACTCATCAATGTGGAGGACAGACAACAAATGATAGTATTTCGATTTGATCAAAGTAGGGTGCAGAGAGCGCTACAAACCTCGTATTGGAATTCAGTTTATTTACACACATACCCACCAGTATAAAAAATTAAAAAACAAAGAAAACAAGCCAAAGTTTGGGCTAGGCCCTTCTCGTAAAAAAAAAAGGACCCCAATTCGGTATCCCGTATTTTCTAAATAAAAAAAAAACTCTCTATCCCGTATTGGTGGCCGGACCCACCAAATGGGTCCTACTCCTACCATGGGCGTCAATTTGTTTTCACTTTTTCACCTGTAAATTTGAATAGCATAGCAAAGCTATGATTCTTCCTATAAAGCTTCAAAGATAATGTACATCAACGATTATAACAGTGGGTTCGGTCCTTGTCTTCCCCACGATAGTGGGGGTCAGCTATAAGGCCCATAGCCAAAGTAAACGTACTGTACAAAAGACCGAAGCCCAAATTGTATCTGCAGGATATCTAACTCCATGGGGTCCACATGGCACGGACTACAATGTAAAAATAAAAAATGGACTCTCTACTATGCCAGATCTTTTCCTCATCAGTCATCACTCGCTCACACAACTACAGTTGGATTAGATGGTGGGACACCACGTGGTTAGTACTATAAAAATTGTAAAAAATAAAAAATGGACTCTCTACTCTGCCAGATGTTTTCTTCATCAGTCATCACTCGCTCACACAACACAACTACAGTTGGATTAGATGGTGGGACACCACGTGGTTACTAATAACCCCACAGGAGCATTCATTCAATAGATCGGATGGTCCAGCTTGACCGAGCAGAACAATCCCTAGCCGTCCATCAACAAAAAGGTCCCACCAAAGCACAAAGTGAAACTGTTCAATAAACTATTATTCTATTACCCAAAAAGAACAGGGTAATTAGAATCATTGTGAATCCTGAGATCATCAGTAAAGGCTAAAGGCAGCAGAAGAAAGCTTACCCGAACGTGGCGAGCTGAGCGAGGAAGAAAGGGTAGTGCCTGAGAGGGATGAGAGCGAGCTTGTACAGAACCCGATTTGCTACTCCAAGAACCACCGTAAGTGCGGCAGCCATCATGACCTCAGCCGTCCGATCGCGACCACGATCACGACAACTGAGCTTCTCTTCCTCTTCCTCTTCCTCCTCCTCCTCCTCCAGCACCTGATTGATCTTCTCCACATCTTCGATGCTCTCCTCATCCAGAGCGTAAGAACACGGCTTCGCATTTCCCCCTCCTTTTCCGTCCGATCGGAACAAAGCCCCACCTCGACCGTGGGATCCGACAACCCATACTACCCTCGCGTGCCACGATCTTAGAGCAATCCTTTGCCGCTGCTGAAATGGAGAGAAGAACAGAGCTTGCTGTGAAGGCGAAACCACGAAGCGACGTCCGGGATTCCGAGATGGAATCAGTCGGTCGGCGGTGAACACCCGGCCACAAGAACAACCAGACATCGCAATTATTACAAACAAATCCAAAAAAAAAAATAAAAGAAGAATAAGGGAGAATGCTCAATGGTAGAGTGGAGAAAAGAGGGGAGGGATTGAGCTATGAGTCAAAAGATCAATGGGGAAATTGGGGGTAGAATCGAGAACAGTGAAACTAATAATGGAAAGAAATGAATGAAAAAGACAAAGAAATAATAATAAATAAATAAATAAATGAGAAATTCTTGGTGGAGCACGAGGAGATGTGAGAGAGAGGACGTCCTACCTTAGCTTTCACTGCACCTTCCGAAAGTGTTTGAAAGGGCTCTCGTGTTTTGGATTCTTATCAGAGGAATTCAGTCCTTTTTGGCCTTTATTATTATTTATTATATTATGGTTTTATTCAAGTGTCAATGGATGAAGTGTGGAAGTGATGGGTGATATATAAGACATTGAGAGTTTTGAGACCAGAAATTTGTTTTTATTCTTTTTTTTTAAACCGAAGATTCGGAATTCCAAAATGAGGTGTGCTTGACTTGTTTAAGGATGCTGAATTCAATTCGACCACGGTTCTCCACATTTTCATTGGTAAAGGGGAAACGGGTTTGTCTGGACGGACCGAGTAGGTTATCTTTGTTTGATGATCTCGTTGGACGTGTTTGGTATTGTTTGTGTGTTTATTTGCCACGTAGGCAATTAGAGTTTATTTAATTATGGGGTTGTTTCATTCTGATGCAGTTTATTTAGCGGATGTTTATCACTGTTGCCCTTTATTTTAACAAATGTTTTGTAATTTTCAACGTCAAATAAACAGTTGCATTTTGTTGGGATCATTGAAGATGGTGTTTGTCTTAATGTTAACTTTCACACAAACCGATAAAACATTTATTTAGTAAATAGTGTTGTCAAATAATGGTGTTTCCCCGTTATATAATACCATTTTTCACATACACATTCACAAAAACAAACACCATTTTAATAAATGTTTTGTATGATAGTTGGAAAACAAGAAAACCGGTTGAAAATTACTATTTATATGTTTTTCTTTTTTATGATTAGTGCTATATTAAATATCATTAAGGCTGCGTTTGTTTGTGGTGTAAATCATGGTTTTTAAAAACGAATCAGTGACCGAACTGGTCAGGAGTCCGATTACCGGTTTGAACGGTTTGATCGTTCGACCCGAATGGCCGATCCATTCTAATGAAAAAATTAAAAAATTGAAAAACGGTCAAAATCATTCGAACAGTTCGAACGATTAATCGGCCGGTTCAATGATTTGCTGACCAAAATCAACGGTTTTGGAGGAAAAAGCGATTTTGGAGAAAAACGAAACCAATCAAGTGACCGGTTCTCTGTTTTCTGATCCGATCCGATTTTGAAAACAATGGTGTAAATGATGGATCAGTGTAATATTACACTCCAGTCCAGTTTTAAGGCTGTTTGGGTGGAATGTAAAAGAATGGTGTAAAATGTCCCTTTTAGGGACTTTTACATCAATAATCTATGTAACATGGCCATAAACAAACTATTAGAACTAATGAGATGTGGAGGTAGGTGCTTGGATAGAACTGATATTTTCTCTTCAGCTGAAAAAGAATGACCGTCAAACCATTTCATCATCGTCAGCTAGAAGTGAGATGAGCACCTTGCTTCCATCAATTCCTTCCTTATACCCAAAATGCAAGCATGACACCCACGGTAGGACACGAGCAAACACTAATTCCCTCTACCACATGGGTTGCACAGATGGAGCTTCTGAACCTCTTGCCATCTCGCCAGTAGCCTTTAAGCTTTGTATTATGTGATCTACAAAAAGAGGGATGGTGATTTACATCGATTGGTATTCTCCAAATGTGAGCAAAAGGGCAATGTTGGTTTTACATCGATTATCCAAACACATACGAATGTAAATAGGTGTAAAAACCGGTTTGCTTTTTAAACTAATAGATCTAGCCATTCTTAAACTCCATCAGTTTTTGTATTTATACCGCAAACAAATGCAGCCTAAGTGACATGTTGAATAGTGAATAAATACTTTAGACTCATTACAGAAAGAGCACAAATACAACTATGTAATTAAAAATACATACAAAATACAAGGTTTTGTATTCGTGTTCCTTCAAGACTCAATTTGGAAGAAATATAAATACAAATATATAGAGTGCAAAACCATGTTTTTGTAATATTTTGTATACATTTATTATGGACATATTTGTATTTGTACTCTTCCCAAGCTAAACCTCAGTATTGAGATAAACATTAAAAGGAAGCATTTCCTACATATAACTCTCATGGACAAACATTTATGCACAACCATTTTTTTCCAATTTTCGAAGTATAAATGCAACACCCATACAACACCATGATACCAAACATCATCACAATCGAGATCAAATCAGTCCCCCACAACGTCCCACTACACATCCCTGCCATGTATTGGGAACATCTCCCGATGATGACATCATCATTTCTGATATTATCATCATGAGATATTCTCAATACATGGCGAGGATGTGCTGTGGGACGTTGTGGGGGGCAATCTTGTGGGGGGCTGATTTGAACTCATCACAATCTCTCACCACTTTATGCTTTTATCCTTGTTGTCAAATGACATGGCAAACCAAGTATGGACCTGCTGTAATTAATATCTTCTTTGCTGTCACATAGAGATGATTTGAAGTATTTTTTATGAATTGGGATCTGCTCCTCATAGAGGGTGCCTCACAGTCACATCCTTACCCTATATTGAAAACATCTCCCCATGAATAATAAATAGAAGTATGGGAGATTTTCCCGAACCAGGGACATGTTAAATTGGTGTGAGACAAGTTCTGTGAGGAATAGATCCGAACAGTCCATCCCATTGTTTTCAAAACCGGACCAGACTGGACTGGACAGTCGACCGGAAAAATTGGGAATCGGCCACCTGACCAGTTTCGTTTTCCTCCAAATTTGCTTTTTCCCCCAAAACCATTGATTTTGGTTAGCAAATCGCTGAACCGGTCGGTTAACCGTTTGAACGGTTTTTATTGTTTTTCAATTTTTTTTATTTTTTCGTCAGAACGAGTCAGTCGTTCGGGTTGAACGATCGGACCATTCGAACCAATAACTGGACCCCTGACTGGTTCGATCACCGGTTCATCTTTAAAAACCATAGTCCATCCCCATCCCCTTACCCCCAATTTTGACAGTGCTTAAGATGATTTAGAATTAAGAACCATGAAGCAAGGCGTGCGGTGTGTGTTGGACTCAATTAGGAGTGGATTCGAGCCAAGCCGAGCCGAGCCGAATAGTACCAGGTTCGAGCTCGAGCTCGATTCGAGCTAGAACCTTGAGCTCGAGCTCGGCTCGAGTCAAGAGTTCATAAGCTCGAGTTCGGCTTGGCTTGGCTCATTTTATATTTTATAAAAATATTTTATTATAAAAATAATATATATATATATATAACTTTTTTATTTTATATTTACAAATTTAAGAATTATAATGTTTTTATTATATATATTCGAGCTAGCTCGCGAGGTTCACGAGCTAATCTCTAATAGGCTCGAACTCGGTTCATTTAATAATCGAGCCACTGAATTGGGCTCGAGCTCGACTGAAACCAAGCCAAGCCAAATTCGAACAACTCGTGAAAAGCTCGACTCATTACCACCCCTAGACTCAATGACTCATTAAAGATGAATTTTATGGACGGGACGTGTAGATTATCTTTGTTAGATGATGTCTCACGGCTTTGTGCCTTTTATCTATGTTGACAGGTGACGTGAAAACCAGGTAAGGACCCACTTAAGATGTGCTTTGCTGTCGCATGAAAGATAGTCAAGATTAATTAGGATGGAGTTTAGGATGAAGCTCAAATCCGACGGTCGAGTCTCCATGTTTTCAACTACAGAGAAAGAAAAGACTAAAGAGAACTGAACTGAATGGTTGGTTTTGTCTTTAAGCAATAACTCATTCAATTCAGCCATTTCAGATTTATTAAACTTCCCCAAACGTTAGAGCAATGTTTACAAAACTGACCTGAAATGAATGGCCTATTCCAATTTAAAAAATAAAAAATTATTGTCTGAATTAATAGTTCCACCACCTAGATCAATGGATCATTGATAGTTTTCAGGTCAAACAGTCAAACCATGCATCGGAGTCGAGTTTTTTAAAACAAATTGGAGCTTTATTTTACATTATTTCATTTTGAAGACCATTGAAGCCCATGTTATTTAAAACTGTTCAGCGAATCGTTTATGCAATTGGTTTCATCTTATCTCAAATCTGATTCCTAATCAAAAACTTTTGAATTGGTTATTAACCCGTTAATCTGAGTAGTCAAATCATCAATCTGTTTAATGGACTGGCTAGAACGGCTCCAATTCTGGATAAATTTCTACAACATTACTTGGACTTATTCATGTAATCGAAATTCACAAATGAGTAGAGTGAACTTGGCTTATTTATGGCCCTCGTATGCAAGGGGACATAAAAAATTGGCTTTCGCTTTGACTGAAAAAAAGAAAGATAAAAGGTCATAAAAGAAGCATTTATAGGAATCTAAGAAATGGTTTCAACATTTTAGAGAAAAGTTGATAGCAAAAGGAAAATGGCCAACTACGTAAAGAAAATAGCAAATGATGTTTTAGGAGAATTTAAAGAAAAATGCTAAAGAAATGTCTTGTTAGAATGGAGATGTTTAAAATATAGAGAAAATTCCTGAATAATACCCTAAATTTTAGGGGTTGTGTTTAGTGAGTTCCCGAAACTTTAAAATGTCTCTTTAGTACTCTAGACTTTCAATTTGTGTCAGACAAGTCCCAACTGTTAGTTGACCGTCAGTCAATAACGTTACGTGAGTGTAAATAAAATTTTTTAAATTGGCAAAATTACCCTTTATGACATTATGATATTTATGTAGCCATTTTGCCCATTGCACTTGAGTGTTAAAACAGCCGAAGGGAAGAAGGAAAGGGGAAGCAGACGGGAAGGGGAACAAGGACACCGAAGTTCGCCATCAATGATCTCCCAGGAAGCCCGCCGTCAATGATCTCCCAGGTTCAAGCTCGTCGTCAACGATCCACTGTTGAAGATCTCTTTTCAGTGTCCGCCGTCAACCGTGAACAACTGTTGAAGTTCTCCGTTCGGTCTTCGTCGTCCACCATGAGCCAC